GCGGAGATTTATAGAATAAACATATAATTAAGAGTTCACAAATGTTCTCAACCCAGGTGATTGAGTTAAAAAATCATTTTCTAGAAGAGCTGGGATTCCAGCTGATCCAGTCATCTGCATCTTACGCCCATTTTTCCTAGCCTTACACCGTTGTCCTTCCAGTAACCGTTTACACTGTGCCAAGTAGAAGAGTAACAACCTGTTTTTCATACTTACACAAATATAAATATATTTGTATATCATGTTTTATATACACATGTGCATGTTTTATACACATACACACAGATATGTAGTGTGTATACTGTGAATACATACATTATGTATTGTGTACACACACACACATGCATCTTTTGAAAATATTTTATGAACCACTGTTTGTATTTTTTATATGAACAGTTTAGGAACAGTGATCTTTAGAGTTCGATATGCTATTTATTTTTTCACTAGAGATTATTTAGGTGGAAATCGGTATCAGACTGGTACAACACTGAGCTTAGATGCAGAACTACCTACCAGTGCAGCACAAGCAACCCATGTGACTCTAAAAGAGAGGCTGAGGGATTTGAAATAATCTGCTGCCTCACAAACGCACAAATAACTAGCAATGTTGTCAGCAAACACTTACTCACCTGTCCCAGTGGTTACAGGGTCATTAGGCACTATCCTGTCTCTCTGCTGAGGCTGATTGTTGGCCCCAAACCAACACGAGAAAGCAAGCTGCCTATGAGGGAAGTTCCTTTCAGCAGCAGACATCGGGCTGTGGTAGTAGCTGGGAAAGACAGCACTGGAAGCAGGGGTAACTGTGATGCTGCTTCTGCATCATGTCAGTTGGGATGAGATTGCTGCACAGATTCCTTCCTAGAAGGGGCTATAGCTCACAGTTGGTGGAAACTAGCTGGAAGGAAGAATTCCTTTCTTACTTCTGTTTTCATGCTGTGTACCTGTGTACCTGTTTGTCCTCTGGGACAACACAGACACAAGAGTCACCATTCTGTGCTCTTCTCAGCAGGATTTAGTTGTGTTCCCAGTGAGACCTTTTCAAAGCTCTAGGCTTTTCCAGCTTGTAGGCACCTTCTCTGTGGTGGAGGACAAAAGCTATGCAGTCAGTCTGAATCACTGGCATTTTTTCTTTAAGGATTCCTGGAAGGAATCTCCTTATACTATTTAAGTATGCTTGTCAAGGATGCTTCACCCATGCTTGTCAGGGATGCTTCACCGAGGCTTGGGTGAGGACTTTTGTGCTGCTGGAAGATTCTTTGTGAGTGGCCATGCTCTCCTCCCTGGCCTTGCTAGGTCCACGTTTAGTGTAACTACTTTTCCTTATTCCGTGAGATGGGCATGGAGCCTCCTGAGAGGTGGTATGGTATTCCTCTGGTATGAGATATGTCGTACTCCCTCAGAAGTTGTGAAGTTTCCTCATAGGCAAGGTAAAATGCCATTTTACAGCTATGTGGGATAAACGTCTTAAAATAAAGTGTATATGAAAGCTTTTACAGGGGCATTACATAATATACAGTCCACATATTTACTTAAAATCTTCTGCAATGTGACTTCCTGTGGTTTCCCCAAAACATCTCTACATGCCTATAACACCATCACCACTCTACTTCAAAGAGAAAGTGAATTATGGGAAATGATCATGTAGACACATTGAGCTATTGCAGGACTTCCAGATTTGGTAAAAGAAGAGGAAGAAGCATTTAAAACAGAGCTGAAGAAAACTGAATTGATATAGGTTCTTAAAAAATGAATCTAGAGCTAAACAATAAGATTAGTGAAAGAAGTCTAGGATACTCACTCTAAAAGCATGCCCTGAGTCTGGTAAAATGGTGACTGAAAGCTTATGATTTTCCAGTAAAACTTCAGCAGTTCCCTGCAAGAGCAATGAAAAAAGAATTTGAGAGTCAGCATGTACTTTTGTTTTATGTATCGTGCAAGAATGTGAAGACATTAAAAAATCAAGGATATGCAATGTTATCGTATTAGGTTGGTAGTAGTTCTTCATAATTACACAATTCAGAAGAAATATTAGATAAATACCAGTTTATGTTAGGAATAAAAAAAAACAAAACCAAAAACAGGAACATGAAGGTAAGGTTGAATGATGAGATGGTGCTATTTTTGAACAGAAGAGAGTCCCTGGAGCTGATAATTATTTGATGAAATAGAATCCATATTTAAATCCCTAGTGTGCTTTTCCGTATAGTGATATAAACAGGAAATATTATTTCACGAGCTGTGCAGACACACTGACATATGGCAAGGATTCCAGAGTCAGAAGGAGGCTCCTGAAAAACAAAAGCCTGAACTCTTAAAATTAATGAAGTTATCCTAGAAAAGCTAAGCCTTGTGAAAGATGAAATGGTCGTTTCCTTCGTAGCAACTTCCCTAGCATTCTTTAGCTTCTTTGCAATGGAAATGCACTTTTTCCCCAAACAAGTCAATGTTGTTGCTTGCAGAGATGATGCATCCAAATAACACATCTAGGCACATATACATAAATGTACTTATTTGCAATATACATAATTGTAGATGCAAGAATTTGATCATAACAATATTCTTTACATGCGTGCAACTATCACTCTGATGGTCATAGTGTTAATACATAGGCAGAAAAGCAGATGTGCAGAACAAAAACATCAAGGAAGTATCTCCGCAATTCAGAGCTCTAACACTTACTTTGCTTTTTTTGAAACGTAGCAGGTATTTTAAAAAGTCAACAGTTTCGTAACCAACCTTGGACAAGCTAATCTTTGACTAGCATAGTCAGCCAAGACAGAAACTTTCCTGATAACTGCTGGTGTCATTGATCTTCCTCTCGGTCAGCTCACTGCAGTCTCACACTTGTTCTGTCTGACTCTCGTAAAGCTGCTACAGCATAGTTAATAAAGGTTACTTGTCAAACCTCTCCTAGCTGTGTTAGCATATCTAATGTTGTTTATCTTGTTCATATAGGGTCCTTTGAACATTGCGACATTTAGACCTCCGTAAATAACATAAAGGTTGATGAAAATGTGTATTTTAACAGCTTCACGTTTTTGCCTTCTAAATAAACTAATTCACTTTTTCCTGTAAGTCTATCAGAATAACATATTTAGAAATCACCAGTCTTTAAAAATAATAATCAAAGAGTCACTTCACATTATTTTCCCATAAAAATTCTTGTAGTAGTCTCCATTTTTGGATGTGTGAATTTTCATGGAAATGACTCTATAGAAATGCCACCTATTTCTTTTGTGCTTTTTAATTTTACCTCAGAAAAATCTCTTGGAAATGAGAGAAGCAATGCATAAGCAGAATTCAGATAGGAGCGGAAGGCCATGTTTGTCTTGTTTCTCCTTTAACGGGACTACACATGTAAGAAAGAAGAGTTATGAGACATGCATCTCTATAGGCTCTATAAATGATTAGAAGGATATGTAGCACCATTCCATCATTGTCTATCAGAACAAACTGAAAGGACTGGAAGGCCTTCTTTCTGGTAAGATTGTTCTTTATATATATGGGGTTGGAGTCACCACTTTTTTACTTCTCTTTTATGCCAGTGAAACTACACTTGCAGACAGAATAACATGCGAAAAATAGTAGAAGTTAATCAGGCCCATTGCTTTGAGATGGAAAACTTTGTGTTGTCATGTGACTCTTCTGGAATGCGAGAATTTAGTTTGTAGAGCTTGCTGATACTCCCCTGCACAGCAAAGTGTAGTATAAAATGATGACATGGGATAAGAAGCATGTCCAAAAGGAGCAACTCCACAACATCCTTGACCTGTGTGCGTGCCACGAAACGCATTTCTGTTACTTGATAAGATTCTTGTGCTTTTTTCAGTCAAAAATTATAACAGTATCATACAAAAGATACTTTGGATTTCATTTTCTGTAGTATCTTCCAATCTTCCTTGTTTGCAAGGAGCAGTGTCATACTTCAGAGCCTTAAAAAAGAGCAGTGATTTTGTTCTGACAAGCTCTATGACTATTTCCCCTTTCTGTCTCACGCTTCCTTATTGAATCTTTCTTCCTCATCGGTTCTCTAGCTGCCCAATAACCCAGAACTATTTTCAGTATTACGGATTTACCAAAGACATGAACATCTACTCAGGTCCCCTTGCTTTTAAGAACAGCTGTCTACATTCACAGCTGTATTTAATCCAAGCATTTTATTTCCTTTTTCATTTTAGTATAATTCCCCTAGTTTCTTAGTATTTTAAAATTACTTCAGCGAAACTCTGCTCAAAGACAAATTTGCAATTCTGTTCTCAAGTCACAGCTACCCATAAAAAAAGTCTTACGTCAAAATCTGAAGTCCAGTACTCAGGATGATTGCACGGTACCCGTCCGGCTGCGTGAGTGAGGAAAGGCTCCCTCCTCGGGCCGAGCCAGGCAGGGAGGCGGCGGGCAGGTGGGGGAGCCCCCTTCCCCCGCGGGAGCCAGCGGAGCCCCTGCC